TCTTCTATTTAAAGAGCTCTTCTTCACGTTTTTAAAAAGACCTTTGGCTGCTGCCTTGACCTGAGAAGACCTTGAGGAAGAGAAGAGAGAGAGGGAGAGAGAGAGAGGATCTTGTGAGGGGAGCTTGTGAGGGATTCAAAAGGGTTGCTCAAGGATTGCTCTGCTTGTCTTTCGTCTGGAGTTTCTCGTCCGTGGAAGGGTCGGTAGAGGTAAGGAGTTTGCTTTTGGTTGTGGTTCTCTGCCAGCTTCAGAAGGAAGCAAAAGGAGGTGGGTTTCTTCTGCCTTGCCGGGGGTGGCAAAAAGGAGTTTCTTATGAGGGCTTCTCCGCCTAGCTGTGGGGGCTAAAGGAGAGTCACGTTTTGTAGTGCAATACTTGGAGGGTGCCTCCAAGGAGTGGACGTAGGTCGAGTCGACCGAACCACTATAAATTTCTGTGTTCTCTTTATTTCTTCCGCACTTTTAAATTCCGCATTTATTTTTGTGGTGTGATTTGGTTTGTGATTTTCTTTCTTTGTCTTAAGAATTTTTTAAATACCAATTCACCCCCCTCTTGGTTAGCTTGGGACTAAGTTCATAGGGCTTAACATCCCGAACGAACTTTCATATACTTGGGACCAACTCTATCCACCTCGTGCAAGTCATTGCACATGATAAAAGACTTCATCTCTTTCGGGCCTAAGCCATAAACAAAGTCTCTTCCCCCTTTTTTTTCTTCTTTGGACAAAAGACAGTTAAAGTCCCCCCCTATAACTATAGGGAAATCTTCAGTCAAATGAAGCTCCAATCTCCCATAAATTCCTCCTCTTGTACATCTTTTTTCGATAGATTATAGCAATTCTCCATGTCCCCCAATTAATCACATTGAGATCTCCAATAAAAATCTGTTTAGAAGATTCCAGCAAATTAAAAGTGGCCATATCTTTCCTCCAAATTACTAAGATTCCTCCAGAGAGACCTTCAGAAGGAACTTGACAAAAATCCCAACCTTCACCGACTAAAGAACAAATAATCTTCTTATCCACAATAGTAAGCTTAGTTTCCACTAAGCCAAGGAAGAATACCCCAAACTCCTTAATGAAATCCTTTGCATATAGAAAAGCTTTAGCCTTTTTAGCTCCTCTATAGTTCCAAGAACCAATGGACGACATTAATGATCCAAGGGGAAGAGGTTCCCCGCCCTTGTCTTAACTTCTCCATCCATTTCCTGCTTCTTGGAATCAACTTGATAAGACCTAAGCCCTTTAATTTCTTAGTCCCCCTTTTTTCTCGTCTTGCTTGACCCTTCTTATGCAATGCTGATTTGAGCCTCCATATAATTATTATCTGCCACCTCTTCATTGACTCCTCCTTTAAAAAAATGTTCTGAAGCTATATCAACCTCAGGAACTTCACCACCATCTTCAATAATTTCTCCTTCCTCCCCTATGTTAATCAAAACATCAAACTAATTAGGATTGCATATTTTTTCATCAGCTTTTGAACAACTGATGTTATTTCTACCATCATCTGTTACTCCATGATCATCATCGTAATTGCTAGGAAGTAGTAAAGCTTCCTCTGAAGTCTTCTTCACTCTTCTGTCTTGCTCTGGTCCCAAACTATATCAACTTCTGAATGGACTTCTTTTGTCACCTTTTTGTCTTTCTTAACAGAAATTGTCTGCCGAGACCAATTGTTTTGGATTCTGAAGTTTTTTCCTCTCTTCCTCCCGTAGTTCACATGTAACCATGGACCATAATCATCATTAGTAGCCTTGAAAACATCTTTCTCTACAGAATCAGCTTTTGAATTCTTCCTCATAATAGCTATATCTCCTTCAACAGACCTTGCTACATCTTCATTAAAAATCTGCACAGGTTCCTCTTTACTCACGAGATAGACTTTCTCCAAATGCACTATTCTTCCATATTTGAAGCAGATGAATGGGAACTTCTCATAACAAACTTTCTGATAAAATTTTCCAAATGCTCCTTCAACCCATACTCCTAAAGGTAGTTTTCCTTCCAACTTGATTCTAATACAAATTCTTGCATATTCACGCCTCCCCCATTGAAACATGTTTTCATCAATAAGAAAAGGAACTCCAACTTTTGATGCAATTCTACAAACATTAATTATGTCCCAGCTTTGCAAAGGAAGATTAAGAAGCCTAATCCAAACTGGTGCCGTTAACCCATTTAGGGAAGAGGGATTAAAATCAAGGGACCATTTGTCCAAACCAATTATGCTGTCATTTACCAACCAAGGACCATTATTTAGTACAGCTTCCATAGCTTCTTATTCCTTAAAGGCACACAAGACTCATCCACCTCCGAGTAAAATCATATGAAATATTCTAAATTGATTCCATTGTTTCCTTAACTCCAAACCAATGATATGATAAGGAGAAAAGTCGCCAAATACCTTAACAACCAGAGCTTTCTTCAATCTATCAGAGTTCTCCAACTCGTTTTGTTGATGAAGTTTCACAGCACCATCATCATAAAAGTCCTTCCCATAGTCAAAATCGATTTTTCTGAAATTAGGCTTGGAATTCCAAACATTCACCACTTCTTTGCCTGGTTGAGGAGGGATGACAGACTCCATTCCTCCCTTAACATTGCAATTTCCCAACATAATTGATTCACAAACTCTGACCCTCTCTAGATCGTCATTCTCTTCTTGCACTTCACTAACTTCTTGTACATTTTTGAGATTTCCCGTGACCATATCAACATTTCTATCCAGTAAAGCTTCATCCATCGCCTTTAGCTTATTCATACTCGAAGTTGAGCCTTTAGCAGATTCAAATAAATCTTCATTTGCCACATCCCCTTTGTTTTTGTAGATAGCTATTTCTTTAGTTCGGCAAGACTCCTTCCGAAAAATTCTCAAATCATTGAACATAACATTTTTCCTTTATCAATGCATTCTGAAAGGATTTTCAGAGATTGATAACCACCTTCATTAATCACAAGAGGTTTAGCAGATTAAAACCTCAACTTGGTCTCCCGATCGAACACCTTATTAGCATAGCCAAAAGTAGGAGGCGAAACACCTTGGTTATTCCGTAACAGAATTTTGATTGCAGTCATTGTCAGTATATGACTGTTGCCAGCGCCGGAGGAGGCTCGACGTCCTTCAGCCGCCATCAGTGGCGAATGAAAATTGCGGGAAAATAGAATTTCAAAATTCCGTTTAAAACTCTCTCTCTAGAAATGTGGAGCTTCTTTCTCTTCAAAAACTATGATTTGAAGAGATATAAATTCTCCTCTTGTACTTCACTAACTTATTTTACATTTTTTAAATTAGGCTTGGAATTCCAGACATTCACCACTGCTTTGCCCGGTTGAGGAGGGATGATAGACTCCATTCCTTCCTTAGCATTGCAATTTCCCAACATAGCTGATTCACAAAATCTAACCCTCTCCAGATCGTCATTCTCCTCTTGCACTTCACTAACTTATTTTACATTTCTGAGATTTCCCGTGACCATATCAACATTTCTATCCAGTAAAGCTTCATCCATCGCCTTTATCTTATTCATACCTGAAGTTGAGTCTTTAGCATTTTCCAAAAAACTCTTCATTTGCCACATCCCCTTTGTATTTGCATATAGTTGTGTCTTCCGTTCGGCAAGAATCCTTCCGAAAAATGCTCAAATCATCAAACATAACATCTTTTCCTTTACCAATGCATTCCGAAAGGATTTTTGGAGATTGATAACCACCTTCATTGATCAGATGAGGTTTAGCAGATTAAAACATCAAATTGGTCTCTCGATCGAACACCTTGTTAGCATCGCCAAAACTAGGAGTCGAAACTCCTTGGTTATTCCGTGAAAGAACTATGATCGCAGTTGTTACTGGGATACGACTGTCACTGGCGCCGGAGGAGGCCCTGCATCCTTCCGCCGCCATCAGTGGCGAAAAAAAATTGTGAGAAAATAGAATTTCAAAATTTCGTTGAATACTCTCTCTCAGAAATATGGAGCTTCTCTCTCTTCAAAAACTGTGATCTTCAAAAATAGACCTACTATTCAGACTAATAACTTTGAACTAAAACCCTCCATAATTAAGATGGTTCAAAATTTCTAGTTTAGGGGAACTCCTATTGAGGATCCCAACTTACACTTAGTCTATTTTTTTAAGAAATTTATGTAATATTAGGGTAAAATAGTATGAGTGATAAAGATATTAGGCTTCTATTATTTCAATTTTTGCTAAGGAATAAATCTAAATTGTGGTTTAATTTTTTATACTTAGGCTCTATAACCACTTGGAACGAGTTGCATATAAATTCCTAACTAAGTATTTCCCATCTTCCATAACAATCAAGCTTAGGAATGAATTCACATCTTTTGCTCAATTTGAAGAAGTTTAATCATATCTTAACTTTATCTCTTAGATAAAATGAGAATAATTTAAGTTTAGTAGCATCATTATTGGTAGCAATATATTTAAATATTACGAAAATTTCTAAGAAGCTAGCTAAGTATATGTTAGAATACTCAGTTGAAGTTTCCCCATACTAAGAATTTTGAACCAACTAAGTTTTGGCATATTTTTATTCAAAGTTGTTGGCCTGGATTGTAGGTCTATGGATATTCTGATGGATTCCTTCTACTATATGGTTAGCATACTATATAAGAAGTTTAGAATGATCTTGATTTTATACTGGTTTTGATATCTCTAATTTTTTTTTTCAAATTTTTGTAAGGGTCCTTTCTATCTCAGAATCAATAATGAGGGATCCTTACAAGATTTACTAAGCATGAAATAATGATGAAATAAAATAAAGATAACAAACTAAACAATCAATAAAATACTTTTTTTATCTTTTTAAAATTTTAACAAACACAATAAAAATAAAAATAAAAACATGAAACAAGTATGTCTAAATATGCACTTGTTTCACTAATGTAGTTTAAAATTGTAATAAATATGTTACATCCCTAGTAATGGTGCTAAAATCTTGAAAATGAACTTATGCGATAAACAGTGTTAGCAATACATAAAGCCAGAGTGTAATATGAATATCTTAGTTTTTTATATCTAAAACTAATAATAGCCCTCTAAATATGTAAGTATAGGTGTCAATCAAGAAATAAAGGGATAGAGAAGTGTTTTAATCCCACGAAAAAGTTTTCTACTTAATTGTAATTAAACTATGACTATCTAATATAAATGTACAATTTATCCTAAAAAATATAAAATATATTTTTTTGAGTTTTTTCCACTTAATGGAGACTTGCAAGAAAATTGGATACTAATGTAAATAAAGTATTTTGGACTAATGAATGAAAATAACATACTTATCCTTATGAGACTCTTAATTTTAGATGTGGATTAGAGCATATATATTCGTAGATCTCTATCAAGCTTGTAGAGGTGAAAATGGAGATTTATGGCCTTTTAGAGTTATAATATCACGATAAAACCCAGAAGGTTTAACATATTATATCTAGGTATGCCAACATTCCATTTCAATACTCCTATTTGTTTGAATATTTATTTGTCTAGGTAATATATCACACTAGATAATAAATACATATGTTGTCATTATATGCATTAAATTGAGAACATGAGATATTGAAAACTTCTATAAACTAATTCATAGCATAAGAGTCGATATTAGTACTTACTATATGTTTACATCGTTAGAAAAAATTTAGAGATTTAGCCACACATTGATAAAAAAAAGTAAATTCATGTCTATATCATTCATATGAAAGGATACAATAGAATTAATAATGATAAATATCACCATAAGAATTAATTGATATTCTCCACAGTCCTTCCTTCGATAATAAAATTGCCTATATAATATAATATAAGATTTCCAAATGAAAATATCATGCACTTCTTTAGCCTCCCTTAAACTTTACTCTATGGGGGGGCTAAAGGAAAACACTGAAAAGTATAAGACACCATTGAAAATGACAGAACTTCTCTAAAAAAAGAACTAAAAAGTGGCCTTATGGATCACGATGCTCTAACTATTGGCATTGTGGCATTATAAAATGAATTAGTGCCTGACATAGTTAATGGTTGAACTAGTATGTCTTTTAGCTGAGTCTACATGGCTCCTCATTTTGACAACTTCTCCTCCTTGACATTACTAAAGTTGAGCACTGTTGTGCTTGAAAGAATAATCTAGCACAGTGGCGTTGAAATACTTAGTACTCTTACACTCTTTTTCTCGAGACTCTAGTGTTGATTTTTAGCACAACAATATTGTGAGGAACTATGACATTGACCTTTGTTCTTGCATGACACATTTTTTTCTTCAAATTCTTGAGAGACTTGTGTTGTTATATCTAAAATAGGCATTGGAGTTTTATACAAGATAATGTTTTGACACTAGATATGTGGGCACTATGGTGCTCATTTAATACTTATGAATTTTTTCCTTCTCTTGAATATTTCCAACATAAACAAAACTAAAATAACATATTTTCACTAAGTTTTAACACAAAAAACGAATAATAAATTTTCACTTAATAGGGTCTAAGGAAAATTCATCTAATATAAAGTCGCACTGCAGTCCTTGATAAAACCACAATGCTCTTTCTATGTTGAGCACTTTAGTGATATCCTCTCAAGTGCTGCAGGTCTAGTATAAGAACAATGCTATTGATAGTACCTTCAATAGTTTGTACTTTCATAACTTTTCCAAGATAAAGCTTTTTTTAGCATCATAGCACTGCCATCAGTGCTGTAGTGTTAAATCAAAATCATGATTGTGTTATTGTTGGAGCGTCATGGTGGCGATCTTTATTAGTTCCACAACCCTCTAACATATCATATGTCATAGTGTTTCTCCATTTATAAAGTAGGTTATTTAATTCCCCATGCTTGTGCCAATATGCAACATGTCCCACACCACTGCAGCATATGTCAGTTTCACCATTTTGTAATTTTATGTCCTCTACCACCAGTATGCTATTTACATGAGCACCACAGTGCTAATATTATTTATGAATAAAAAATGGTTTGATTTTTGTTGCCATTTCATGTTTACCTTCATTTATTCTAAGTTTTCTATAATTATTTAGTAGTCAATGGCCCCTAAGATGTTTGGCAATAAGAAGAGAGCATCTTCCTCCTTTGATAAGAGTAGATTCATATCTATAGAAACTGAGCAGTGGTATGAGATGTTTGTAGTGAATAAATAGTTGATTCCTAAGAGAGGATTTGAAAACTCAAGTGATCAATTGATGTAGATAATAATGAATCAAGCTTGGGATTTATTGAGTGATGAACCCCATGCTACTATGGTAACTATGTCAG